AAATAAAACTAAAATTTCGCCGAGTTCTTACATTTTGTTGACGTTTTTACATCAGGCAAGTTCAGTGCGCGCCTACTCAATTTTTTGGCAGGCATTAATCCGGTCGCCTGCTGGTCCTTCCTCCTTTTCTACGTCCCTGAGTGAGGCCGGCGTCAAGATGGTGAGTCTTGTGGCAAAATTACAAGTAAAATCCGTTCAACATCGAGGCCATCCGTCCATCGGCACACATATAATGCCCTTCAAGTGATCGTTTAAGTCTCCGTTGTAGTAAAATGTCAATATTGATGTGACACGAAACTATATGAGGGGAAATTCAGCGCCACCATCCTGAACGCTATCAGTCTGTAGTCCACCCGGACGGTACACACACTGGGTTCAGATAGCTGCTCTGGGCTCGTATAGTTGCTGCTGTGTTTTCATTACATTTTATGAACCACAGAATCTCCTTTAACCTACAGTTTTTGTCAAGTTCACTGTTGTATTTAGACGTAAATTAGCAGTAAACATGGGAAACGCTACTAGCGCTCAGTGGCTAACGTTAGCATGCAGCAAAGGCCTTCATGCTGAGGGAACAAGCATGTTTAAAGTTGTAGTACTGCTAAGCTCTATTGAGTGGCATGTATGTGTGAAGAAAACATGCTCCATGGAGACCGTGGAAGCTTTTATGTTTCCAGGTAAGCTCTCTCTCTCTCAGACAGTAAGATGTGTTGTGGCACAACTCAGTGGTGCCTGGTGAGGAAACTAAAGCTGCAACTGAATGCTGGAGCCTCTGCTGCCAGTGTTGAGACTTACAGTTGAAAGCTGCGGGTTGGGTAGCGGTTGAAATACATTGTCTGGTAACGAGCGTCGTTTTCTACCTTCTCCCATCTCCAGAATGACACAGTGACAGTCAGGACCCGCAAGTTCATGACGAACCGATTGCTTCAGAGGAAGCAGATGGTAAGTTGTTTAAACTCCTTTTTGCGACGCTCTTTGTGTCTTTGCGTTTTCTGTTGCACCTTCGCATGTTCACTGCCTCTGTCTCTTCTCTGTAGGTTGTCGATGTCCTGCATCCCGGCAAGGCCACAGTCCCCAAGACTGAAATCAGGGAGAAACTTGCGAAGATGTACAAGACCACCCCCGATGTCGTGTTCGTGTTCGGCTTCAGGACTCAGTTTGGTGGCGGCAAGACAACAGGCTTCGCCATGGTGTACGACTCCCTAGACTATGCTAAGAAGAATGAGCCCAAACACAGACTGGCCAGAGTGAGTTTTCAACAACGTGTCTACATGAATGGTTTGATTCATGATCAATTGAGCCTTTTTCAATGTGGCGTTTATCAGCAAAGGGTTTTTTTTCCCACCCATCTTACAACTGGACCTCAAATTCAGTTTTATTTTCAGCAACAATTTTTGATTTTAAGTCTTAACTCCTCTCTGAGTTGTCATCTTTTGAATGTATCCTCATTTTGCGTGGACTTTTATGTTAAGTAGTTTGCAGAAGGCATCAGAACAGCACTTTACAATTAAAGATGATGGGTGACGGGTACAATTTAACAGGTGGAGTGATATGGAAAGTTGGTGGGTAATGTGAGGACATCCCCTTCATTTGGAGAGAGTTTGATTAAACTTTTAGCTAATGTGGACATAGTTGAGTTACTAATATCAAAAGCTAATCTGCAAATGCTGCCATTCAGGGCTTGTTATGTAATTAGTATATAGTATTTATTTAGTATAATAAGTAACTGCCATTAATCTGCTGTGATCCAGTGCAGATGTTGCTCCAGCTGTCTGAAAGGCCACCAGTACAATCATATGGGTTGGCAGTTGGATTGATGAATTTGAAAGCATTATGATCGTCAGTGGGTTAGTGGTATAGAAATGAAACCCTTATGGATTTGTGTTCCTCAGCACGGTCTCTATGAGAAGAAGAAGACCTCAAGAAAACAGCGCAAGGAACGCAAGAACAGAATGAAGAAAGTACGAGGCATCAAGAAGGCCAGTGTGGGCGCTGCTGGCAAAAAGGTATTGTGACGGTGTTTACATGGTCACTGACCACATTTGTGTACTCCTCATGCCTCTGTGCACAAAGTTAAAATAAGTATTGTGATAGTTTGCAATGGGGAAATAGACTGTGTTTGTTTTTCCTAATCTAAGATAAGACAGCAGTAAAGTAAGGGGAAGGCATCATATGATTCAGGGCATTTGATTTTCATTTTTTTCATCGCGCACCTGTTCTTTTCCTATCCTGCTAATCGTTGTCTTTCATAACTCTTTTACTCTTTTAATTTCTTTTGTCATCTTTCCAATTGTATCAAATGTTCTTCGGATACTGTAGAAGGTAAATGTTCCTAGACTATAATAGACTAACTGCAGTGTGCAGATAATCCAGGAGTGATGGATTCTAGCTAACTCCTCCCTTTTTCCACCCTCACCTACCCATCTGAGAACCAGAGCCTTAATGCTTTTCCCTCCCGGTGTAGATGGTGCATCAAATATGAAAGGATTTGACCCACTGGTTAATACTTACTAGTCATTCCTTATGGTGATACTAATGAGTACTAGCTTGAACTGAAAACTAATAGTTGTAGACCCTGTTTTGGAAACCTAATGACAGTTTTAGGAGATCCTATAGCCAATAAGGAAAGTACTTAAAAATGTAGTACTAATCAAGGAAATATCCTGCTGTAGTTTTTGTTTCAGTGAAACCCTGAATTCTCCTGTAACCTCTGTGGTAGCAGTCACTGGCCTAAAGTCACCTAGAATAGATCTCTGAATTACAAAGCCTAGCTGGACTGTGTGTGATCCCACGTAGTTCTAATGGCTACAGCACAAAAGGCTTGTGGAATAATGACACAGTCCAGCCATGTCTACTTTGCTTTTCATTGGCTTGGTTGTAAATGTGGTACATTATCTGCAGAGTACGTCCATTCAGAGATCTTTTCTAGTCCTGGTTTAAATTTCCAACATGTTAACATTATCCTGTTCCATTTTTTTGTTCTTGATTTTGCTTCCCATGGATTTCTTTTGCAGAAATGAGGTGTCAGTGTGCAGGTATACCAGCAGAAAAAGCATGGTGTGCCATTGTGTTGCACATCAAAAGCTGATAGAGCTGTGCCATGCATGTCACTGCCTACTTCCCCTTTCAGTTTTCCTTCAGTGCTCCCCCACCCCTTCCATGTTTTTTGTCTTTTGTTTAAGCTCCCTGCTTATAGGTTTTCCCTCTACCTGAGTCCTTTGTACCGCTGTCTCTGCTAAAATGGGCATATCCATTAGGCTTTGCCCTCTATGGTGTACCTTTATACAGACATACTTGCTGTAATGCTTCAGATCTGTAGTTAATAGAAGCAGACCTTGGGTGTAGCATGTGGGGTCTTAGTTTGTTGTTTTTAGTGTGAGTGTGGGGCTGCTGAGGTAAAAACCTGCCAATGTGTGAATTATTAAAATGTGTTCTTTTCTTGAACTGAAGTAATAACTTTTATTTTTACAAAGCGTCAAACTACCAGATTGTTGTCTCACCTAAAGATACTATTAACATTTGTCTCAACATGCACTGGTTGACTTGATATTACTTACATTATCAAGAAAGTTTGTAGCTGTAGACATTAGATTGATCCTGTATTAATTTTGCTGTTCTTGTCTCTACAGTGAGCCCGGACAACCAGGGAGGGTCTACGTGCTCAAGATGTTCTTGTATATTGTCATCAAATAAAATTTGGAAAAAATTCAAAAAAAAAAACCATTGGTCCTTGGGTATATTCATTTGGTTCAACGACCATTTTGTGCTCATGTTTTTGGAAGCATGACTGTAAATCAAGTCGGAACAAAAGTCTGAATGCTGTTTGTGTTTACAGCAGCCGGTTGGCAGCCAGGATTCAGTACTCAAGGTGACTGAAGTTGTTTCTGTAGGCTGCTGAATGATGGCTATCCACAGGCAGCTAGCATGGCTTTAGCTATATTGCCTTTCTAAGTAATCTCAGGATGGTTTCCAGTACAAAGTACAAGTAATTTGGTTTCTATTCAAATTGCGCCCACATGATCTTTGTTGATAGTGACATCCAGTGGTTTTGCAAAGACATTACTTCAAAGCTGCCAAATAACTGATCTCGTCTTCAGCCATTTGCTGATTCACTGTTTTAACTAGGTTTGGTAATATCACATTTAATTACTGACATTTAGTTTAGAGAAATATTGAATTTTAAAGTCTTCTTTGAAACATGCTGACCGCTTTAAAACACTTTCTTTGTTTTGTTTTCATAATTTAAATGTATATACTTTCTGGAAGCCTTTTCCCCACCATTGGCCAGTCAACGTGTACCAACATATTCTACTGGTATTACGGTAATGATTTTAAACTTGTTTAAAGATTTAACTGCAGTAACCCAAATGGCCACATGAGGACTCCCTTTGTTGAAGGACATAGAACACTTGTTAGACACACTGAAGCCGTCACTAAAAGTATTTACCTGTTAAAGTATTCAGCACTAATTCATCCTAGAGGCACATTG